ACTGAAAAGCAGATAATGCTTTATTTAGTCCAGGATTGCTCCCAAGGGCAAGTGGCTAATTCTTTCCTAGAGCTGGTATGTGTCTGTCTTTAGTGTGGCTATTTAGTATGACATTTTGTTTAATCTGGAGAGCACAATACTAATGGGCCTCAGATCCTAAATTACACAGAAAATCATGGTGCCTGGCACTGTAAGCATAGTGAAAAAGGGGGGGGGGAATCCCAGAAAAGAGACCAGTTTGAACGGTGCATGTTTTTGACTGACATCATTTTATAGTTTTGTTCTTTAGCTTTTATCAGTGTAATCAAGACAAAAGATCCCATAGGTTTTCTTAGGTGGTTGGCCTATGGAGTCTGGATTTGAAGTCTTTCTTTTCTCTTGCGGGCAGTCTCCCTTGTAGCCAGGGTTGATGAGATGACCTACAGGAATCTGTGGGCAGTTGGAGGCTTGGCAGTCAAGGGCTGGGGGTAGGGGTTAGGCAGAGGGCTATGTCTCAACCATCATCACCCTCTGTCCACCTGTGCTGCAGGTTCTCACCAGAAAATACCGAACTTCTCACCACTCTAGGATTGCTGTACTTACAGGTATGCGCTGGCAGGGGAAGTGCCTTGATGTTTTCCTGTGTTGGATAAAAAATTGAACACATTTTGTGAAGGGTCACGTGCGACACATGAACTTTGCTCTGTATTCGATGTTCTTTGCTTCCAGGAATTAGCTTTCTGCATTAAAATCAGGAGCAGTTCTGTTTTAGCCTTAGTGCAATTGTAGTCCTCATGAAGCCATTTTGGGGAGAAACTGATACAAATGAGCACTTCTAGTGTTCTTGAGAGGGAAGGCAAAGCTCATTTTTTTTTCTAGAAAAAGAAGTCCCTCATCCTTCCTGAGGTGAATGTGATTCATTTAGCTGTCAGTTCTCTTGATCAGCCTGCGGACCCAAAGATCCTGAGTAGCCTGGTCTGCCCACTCTTGTTTCTCTGCTCAGTTGCTGCTGCCTCCTGGTCATCTTTATGTCTGACTCCTTCTTTATAAGTGGCACCAGGAGCTTAGCCCTGGGTTGGCAGGTGGCCAAGGACATGAGGCTAGCCAGTTTTTTTCCTGCCAGGAGGCATTAATGTGGAATAGCTCACAAAGTGTGGCTGAATAGTTACTACAAATAAACACTTTATAAAGAGGCGAATGAGCAAGATGGAAAAGCACAAACACGGTCGTTGTCATGTGCTACACACCACAGTTTTTGGTGTAAGTACCCACATGACTAGGTGCTTGCATTCAGGGAGCTGTTGGCTGGACTGTGTGAACTCTGATCTCTTGCTGATGGACATTCTCCTCTGCTTTTTTCTAAGCTTGGCGTTTACCAGAAGGCGTTTGAACATCTTGGAAATGCATTGACTTATGACCCCACCAACTACAAGGTACCGCAGGCTACGAACACCAGAGCCTTTGTGTAGTAGGTGGTCCTGGAAAGCGCAGGGATGGTCTCCTTTTGATTCTAGAGAATTTTTTTCTGTAGTGCTGGGAATCAACTCAGGACCTGTACATGCTGCATTGTTCTTTTTTTAAAAGAACTTATTTGAAGGTTTTGTAAGTGTATATTGTGGGAGAGCACATGTCCCGTGTTGGGCATGTGCCCTGCAGTGGCTAGAGCTGCAGTGCTTGGGTCACTTTCACTTGGGAATGTGCCTCTGTGGCAGTGGGTTGTGGGGAGGTCAGCAGGTACTTGAGTGTCACTCAGGATAGGGCTGTCCAAGGACACAGTGCATTCTCTCCCCCTCCCCCCAGTTTAGGAGGTAAATTCACCTGACCCTCCTCCTTGGAGAGGTGCGAAGGGCTGCTATTTGGACAGCCGGTGAAGTGGTGGGGACAGGTAGCGTGTGGTGTATGGTGAGAGGCTGCAGAGAATGGTACTGTGAGCTGGCAGTGAGACACGGGAAAAGCCACGATGCTTGTCTATGTTGTGTAGGGGTCCCTATCGCTTGGCTCACCTCTACATCCTGGCATCTGCACTCAGGTGCTGTTTTATGCTGGTCATTCAGGACAACCGAGTCACCAAATGCCCTGCATGTCATTAAGGGTCCCTGTGCTGTGTTTTCAGGCTATCTTGGCGGCGGGCAGCATGATGCAGACTCATGGGGACTTCGATGTCGCCCTCACCAAGTACAGAATTGCGGCCTGTGCCGTGCCGGAAAGCCCCCCACTGTGGAACAACATTGGCATGTGTTTCTTCGGCAAGAAGAAGTACGTGGCGGTGAGTGCCTCTTAGGGTCCCGGGCTGTGCTCACCCATGCGGCTACTGGGTTCCTGAGCCAGGGCCCTCTCTGTAGGCCATCAGCTGCCTGAAACGAGCCAACTACTTGGCACCTTTTGACTGGAAGATTCTGTACAATTTGGGCCTTGTTCACCTGACCATGCAGCAGTATGCTTCGGCTTTTCACTTCCTCAGTGCAGCCATCAACTTCCAGCCCAGGATGGGGGAACTGTACATGCTTCTGGCTGGTAAGAAATCTCCACGGGGTCTGTGATGATGGGGAGACAAGCGAGGCACCTTGGAAGCCATTCCTTTGTGGGTGCCCTAGCAACAGGACTTAGAAAAAGATGGCCAAGTCCTCGGGCTCTTGGTTGGATTGTAAGTGGCCTATTACTAACAGTGGTTACTGTAACACTCTGGGTCCCGGGCAGTTCCATCTCAAGCCAGGAACTAGAAGAGAAAGGAGCAGGTGAGCGCTGCTAAGTCTAGAGAAATGGTAGCAGCTATACTACTGTTTCTGGCTTCCCTCATAGGGGCCTGGTAGGAGTGGGTGCATTAATCAGCTTCCATGAAATATACATTGAAAGGAGAGGAGTGGAGTGGGGCTCTGGCAGCTCACATGTGTGACGTTAGCTACTGAGAAGGCTGAGATTGTTGGGACTGTGGTTTGAGAGCAGCCTGGGCAAGATAAAAGTCCGGGGCCTATGGCTCTGCCTAGCTAGGCACACTGCACCAGGGCAGAAATTCAGACCATACTTTACAATAGAAAGCCTGGCATGGGAAAGAAGCTGGGAAACCACTGCACAGAATGTGGCAGTGAATTACTGGAGAGAAGTATCTACGGGGGTGGGGGTGGGGTGGCAGTGCCCACATGATAGTGCCAGCATTCATTTCTGCTTCCAAGCTGAGCTGCTTCATTCCCCTTGTCGCAGTGGCCCTGACCAACCTGGAAGACATTGAAAATGCCAAGAGAGCCTATGCGGAGGCCGTGCAACTGGATAAGTGCGTGCTGTGGGGCTGTGCCAGGGAGGGTTGGTGTCTAGTCAGCCTGCCTTCCTCCATGGCCTGTGGGTGGACTACGTAGTTCCTAAGAAAAGGATTAATGGGAAAATGCATTTCCAGTCTGAGTTTAGGAATTAGGAAGTCAGTGGGAAGTAGGCTTGGGCTGCAGACAAGCCATGGGTCAACTATCATGCCAGATGTGGCTTAGTGTTTTTGCTATTCTGTCCATTGTGGGGCTTGAATTCAGGGCCTAGGTGCTATTTTGTAAGTTTTTTGCTCAAGGCTAGTGCTCTACCACTTTGAGCCATAGCACTGCTTATGTAGTTTAGAGTCTCATGGACTTTTCTGCCTGGGCTGGCCTCAAACTATGATCCTCAGATGTCAGCCTCTAGGATTACAGGTGTGAGCCACTGGTGCCAGGCTCAGCTTAACCTTAATAAAAGTGGCTCCTTGGGATTTGTTCCTCTGGTCTCCACTATGGCAGGGTAGGGTTCCCTTTTCAACCTGCCCAGGTAGTCTTGGTCTCACTATCTGCTGTGCTGGCTGGGCTTCAATTCCTTCCCATACAGCATTGTTGATGCATCTCAACTCGTTTTCTTTTTGTGTGATGAGGACGATCTGCCAGTGAGCAGGGGTTGCCTCAGAGTCCCCGTGTGCCACAGGTGTAACCCTTTAGTAAACCTCAACTACGCCGTGCTGCTGTACAATCAAGGTGAGAGGAAAGGTGCCCTGGCCCAGTATCAGGAGATGGAGAAGAAGGTCAGCTTTCTCAAGGAGAACAGCTCCCTGGAATTTGACCCTGAGGTATGTTTTTTATTATCAAGTCAAGTAATCCAAATACAGGCACAACCTCTTTGGGCTTTGATGTTCCTTGCACATGAGTTCATCCATTAGTTACATCCTAAACCCCCCTAGAAGAAAATAATAGTGAAAGGATGTTTAGACTTACTGAATTGTTACTGCTACTGCTTTATGTTGATTGGGACCAAGCTCCAAGCTCCTCCTGCGGCTCCCTGTCACTTTGTAGGGATAGGCAGAATTGAACACAGTAGGTCAGACCTGAGTCAATCTCCCTTGTCACCGCTAGGGGCAGTCTGTAGTGTCTGCTATTTGGAGAGGGTTCCTTGCAATGAGTGTGTCCTTCCTCAAATGGCAGCAGACAGCATTTCAGCTCAAGCCCTGTGCTTGGTGAGAGTCCCAGGAGGAGGAGGGCGGCTTCTCTGCTGGTCTTGCATGTGACTCTTTCTCCTTCCCACTGGATGCAAGATGGTAGAGATGGCTCAGAAGTTGGGAGCTGCTCTCCAGGTTGGGGAAGCACTGGTCTGGACTAAACCACTGAAAGAGCCTAAGTTGAAGCACGGGACAGTGTCTGCTGGCAAACCTGCCACACTGCAGAAGCCTCTGGGCTCCAATCAAGCTCTAGGACAGGCAATGTCTTCAGCAGCAGCCTACAGGAAGATTCCTTCAGGTAAGAGGCCAAATAGCTCCAGAGCCAGCTTTAAGACTTGGATTTGTCAGACTTCAATTACGGCCTGCTGAAGCCGGGAGGGGAAGAAGCTTGGGATGGCCAACCTGGCATAGTTGAACGGTCCGTGCACAGGGTCTTCATAGCATCGCAAGGTATTTTCTGCTGTGTGGTCATTCTGTTGTGAGTCACTAAAGATGTCAATGATGGCTGTGGGCAGATATGCCTGTCTAGCATTTCTGTAGTTGGGGGCATCACTACCCTGCAGCTGCCCACTTAAAGAAACATGGTCATTTCTGGAACTGAAGTTCTTTGCTTTGTCACTAGGTGTCGGAAGAACAGCTCAATTCACAAAGCCACCATCGCTTCCTCTGGAGCCAGAGCCCATGATGGAAGCAGCAGGACAGAGAAGAGAAAAATAGAAACAAGTAAGAGAAAAAGCAGGGTCAGAATAGGATGGCCCTGGAGTAGTCTCTTGGGATTAAGGAAGGTCATATGACCAGAAAGTGGATACCAGCACCGCTCTCAGGGTGAGCACCACAGAATTAAACACAAGTCGGGCTCTGTTGTGATGAGGAGGAGGAGCTCAGGCTTTTGCAGGCACTGGAAAGCCCCATTATCTAGGAAGTAGGGAGAAGACAGCCTCGTAGTGCTTCAAGAGTCGGAGAGTCTGCCTATGGCTCCCAAGAGTCAGCCAAGGCCCATGATGCAAAGGCCATCACTCAATAAAGCACTTTTATCTCCTGGCCCACTGAGCCCTTCCTTTGTGCAAGGGAAGACGGACCTCTGCTCAGCAGCCGGGGCTAGTCCCCACGGCAAACCCAAACCTCGCAGCAGAAACCCCAGGCCCACAGGATGTCTAGAACTGTGAGAGGCCAGAGTCAGATCATGTCAATGTAAGAAGCAAGCAGGAGGTAAGGGATGGCCTGGTACTGGCACCAGGGATTTTTTTTTTTTTAAGGAAAAGCTAAGGAATATTAATGTATGATAATCAACGATAACTACTACTGACCATATGCTATGTTCTTTTTAAAGATTATGTATCATTCCACAGGCATACAAAATAAGAGGCCACATTAAAAACGTTTTTTTAAAAAAAAAATACGATCACTGTCTTACCTGTTTCCAAACCTAGTTTGAAATTGAAGGAAGAAGTTGGAGGCCGAGTCTGGCAAGGGCATAGTCCTTGCTGGGCAAGGGTCCTGCCACATTCCACAACACACTGTGTTCAGCCAAGCAGACCACATGCTGGGTATAAAATGGGCCTTGAAATTCAGAAGAGAAGCCGGGGACGATGACACCGAACTGGAGCCTACACAGATCAAAGTTGTAAGAGATAGAGTTGAATATGCTATGTTAGAAATTAATCACCCCTCAAATGTTTGGAAATTAACTTGTAACAACTCAGAACTTAAGGGTGAAATGAGAAAAACACTTTGAACTGAATGACAATGAAAGTGTGCGTAATCTGGCTTAACGCAGTGCTTAAAGGAAATGTATGTCTTTCCCTTACTTTGAAAAAGGGTAAGATCAGACAAATTTAGCCTGAAATTCAGTTTGAAAAAAGGGGAAAATCTGAGAAAGAGCGAGAGAATGTATGACTTAGTACTAGATGAAAGAGGACACACAGCATTATAGAGTACAGACACAAAAAATGTAAGGGAATATCAGGATAAGATTGTACAACTTAAGGTGTAACAAAACATGAAAACTTAGAAAAACGAATGAAAGGTAAAACTTTCACAGGCTCATACTTATAATCCTAGCAACTCAGGAGGCTGAATGAAATCTGAGGATTATAGTTCAAATCTCCAGTTAACTATCAAAAAGCTGGAAGTAGAGCTGTGGCTCAAGTGTTAGAACAGTAGCCTTGAGTGGAAAAAGCTTAGGGATGGCGCCCAGGCCCTAGGACTGGACCAAAACCCTCCCCTCTCACAGGCCTTACAACTGAATTTATAAATCAAGTTATTTCATAGACACATTCTATCAAGGCACAAAATAAACTTTACCTTATGAAAATTTTCAGAAAATTAGAGTATTTACTAGGTTATTGGTATCAGGTCAGAACATCCTGACAAAACTACAGAGCATGACCTGTATGGACAGGAGAGAGAATATGCTGCAGAATGGTATGTCATGCCCCCATTGTGTTATCTCAATTTGAAGCTTGGCTTATATTTAGACACTGACACTCTCCTGCATTCAAAAGAGAAGTCATGATTTCAATAGACCAGAAAAGGCCATTTTAGAAATGTTATCATTCAAGAGACTTACCTGATAGAGGATTATTACTCCAAATGTACCTTGAGATACATGAATACAACCAGATTGAAATTGGACCAATGACCCAGGCATACTGGCACACATCTGTCATTCCAGCACTTGAGTGACTGACGTGAGGCAGGAGTCTGAGGCTGTTCTAGACTACACAGCAAGCCACAACTTCACCCACCAAAGAAGGCACACAGATGGTGATTAAGCGTACTTACCAGGGCTGGGAAGGTGGCTCAGTGGTAGAGTGCTTGCCTTGCATGCATGAAGCCCTGGTTCAATTCCTCAGCACCACATAAACAGAAAAAGCTGGAAGTGGCACTGTGGCTCAAGTGATAGCGTGCTAGCCTTGAGCTGATGAGCTGAGGGACAGCACCCAGGCCCAGAGTTCAAGCCCTACAACCAACCAAAAAAGAAAAAAAGACAACGTGCACTAATTAGAATGACCAAAATCCAGAATGGTGATGCCACCAGACACTGGTAAGAGTCGCCTTGGCACATTTACCACCTTTAGCCATCTGACTCCTTGGTATTTCTGGAAAGGAGCTGACAGACATTCTATTACTGTGCACAAATCTGCAGCTCAAATTCCTAGCCAAAAGGTGAGGTGCACAAAGGCATGAAAAACAAGAATGCAAATGTGTGTCAGCTACCATGGCTCCACAGCATAATCCCAGCTCTGGGACATCCATCCCAGTGTAAATGCATGTCAAGACTTGTACACAACATATACAAATTCTGTAAATGAAACAAATCTGGGGCCATGTGGTGGCTTATGCCTGCAATCTCAGCTTTTTGGAAGGACAAAGCAGAATGATCACAATTCAGGGTTGCCTTGGGGTAAAGCATTGTGGGGCTGTGTGATTCAAGTGGCAAAGCACCTGCCCAGCAAGCAGGAGGCTCTGAACAAAACCTCCTGACTCTAACTAATACTGTACACAAAGGCAAGCTGCAAAGTGCATTAAAGGAAATGAGGCTGAATGTATGACAGGCAGGGCAGAGGGGACCATCATGACACTGAGACAATGGTAATCAAGTGACAGACTTGAAGAAAGGACCATGGCTGGTCAAGAAATCTTAAAGCTCAATAATTAAGACTCAACTAATACCAACAAAAAGAAATGTGCCAGAGTTGCATACTTCACAAAGATACATGAATAGCCATTAAGTACACGAGTAAATTCTCCATCACGATAGAATACATGCGTGTCAAAATTACTAAAAACACACATCCACGTGTTGGCACAAATAAGGCACAATCAGAATCACCATAGCACTGGTAGTAGAGTAGTATAAAATGATCCAACCTTTGGAAAAATCTTCCATCCACAGTTGTATGGCTAAATGACAATGGACATCAGCTTCCTTTGCAGAAGCCCCACGCTAACCTGTGTTGATAGGATAGTATTAAACAACAAAAATGGCTGTAATGGTGGAGAAAAAAAATAGCCTCTTCAATAGTTGGTGTTGGGAAAACTGGGCAGCCACATGCAGAAAACCTAAGATTGAATCCCTGCTGGGTCACTGGATAGAGTAGGAAGAAACATTAGAACTTACAGGTAGAATCTTCTTGAAGAGTCCCAGGGGCACAACAGAAAGCAGAGACTTGACAAGTGGGAATACATCAAAATAAAGTTTCATGCCTGTAATTCTAGCTAGGCAGGAGGCTGATATCTGAGGATCGTGGTTCAAAGCCAGTTGGGCAGGAAGACTTACCTCCAAATGACCACCAGAAAACTGGAAGTGGCATTGTGGCACAAAATGGTAGAGTGCTAAACTTGCACAAAAGAGCTCAGAGGCAACTCCCAAGTCCTGAGTTCAAGCAACAACAAAAAAGTTTCTGCACAGCTAAGGATATAGTTACTAAACTAGAAAGACAGCCAACAGATTGGAAGAACATTTTTACCAAAAATGTATCAGACAAAGACCTAGCATCCCATATATACAAGGAGCTCAAAAAACTTAACCCCTCCCAAAGCTAACAAACCAATCACCAAATGGGCAAGGGAGCTAAGGAGAGACTTAACGGAAGTCAGAATGGCAAAGACACACATGAGGAAATGCTCATCATCCCTGGCACAAAACAACTCTTGAGATTCCATCTCACCCATTAGATTGGTCAACAACATGAATTTGAACAACAAATGTTGGCAGACTGCCCGTGTAATTGTAACCCTTCTGTATGGTATTTTCACAATAAAAATTAAAAAAAAAAAAAAAAAGTTGGCAGTGATGTAGGAAAAAGGAACGCTATTGCACTGTTGGTGGGAATGTAAACTAGTACAACCACCGTGAACAGCAGTCTGGAAGTTCCTCAAAAAATGAAACAGACCTTCCCTACAACCCAACTCTACTACTCCTGGGGATCTATCCTGAACATCATGAACCAGGATATGATAGAGACACCTGCACATCCATGTTCACTGCCACACTATTCACAATAGCTAAGAAATGGAAATAACCCAGATGCTACAATAGATGAGTGGATCCAAAAAAATGTGGTACCTATACATAATGGAATTTTGGAGTCATTAGAATAATGTTATTTGCAGGAAAATGGATGGAATTAGAACAAACCATGTTTTTCTTTTTCTTTTTTGTTGGCCATGGGGCCTGAACTCTGGGCCTGGGCGCTGTCCCTCAGCTCTTCAGCTCAAAGCTCTACCATTTCAGCTACAGCACCACTTCCGGCTTTTTCTGCTTATGTGGTGCTGAAGGATCGAACTCAGGGCCTCATGTATGCAAGGCAAGCACTGTACACTAAGCGACCTTCCCAGCCCAAGAACAAACCATGTTAAGTGAGGCAAGCCAAGCTCAGAGAGAAACGGCCCTTGTTCTTTCTGATATGTGGACAGTAGATCTAGACGACACTGGGATATGACAAAGTATGCAGGATTCCAGCTACACCCGATACTCTTAGGAGAGAAGCACAAAGGCACAATGCCTACATACCTCTTCATATTTACACACAAAATACATATCTACAACTCCAGGATACTGAAACAAGGTTAGTTTTCAGTTTCTAATGATTGTTTTATTTACCTTATATATGGTGTACATCTTCAGAAGGATTGGAGAGGGTATAGAACTTGAGAAAAATGGTGAAAAGAACAGCAGTGGAGTTCACTAGACATTGATAGAATTTGTGGGTGGAAACGGGAGGAAGGGACTGAGAGGAACAGAAGACACTGCAAAAGGAAATTTACTCATCTGACTCATGTAATTGTAATGCCCCTGTACATCACCTTTATACTAACAATAAAATTAAAAAAAAAACAGCTGCGAAGAAACATGGACGAGGATCAAATACTGAACGTCCCCATTCGCAGTCCACAACAGGCAAAAGCTAACTTACGGTGAAAAAAATGGTGCTGCTCCAGGGGTCAGGGTAGAGGGCTGGGATGGCTTTGCCAAGGGTAGTAGAGATAGTTTCTATTTGGCATTTGGCTTAGAGAGGTATGGAGACATGTTTGCCAAACTTGCCAAATAGCACATTTAAAATCTGTAGTTTCAGACTTTTTTTTTTTTTTTTTTGCCTAAAGACAAAAAAGTAAAAAGTTATTTTAATAGCTTTCAAATGACTTAAAATAGCCTTCCTGAGACCCAGAAGCTCTGTTTAGCTTAGTGCTAATATATTAGACTCTTAATTCTTAAATTAAGTGCTGCATACTTTGCTAATCACCCTGGGTGGCAGCTGACTTTAGTCAACAGTCCTGTGGGAGCAGGTGCAGTGAAAGGGGGCATGCAAGGGTTAAGTTGCCCACTACCACACATTGCCATCCTCACCCCGTTCCCACTCACCCTCGAGATCCGAGGCACGAACATGCACACTGGAGGAGTCCTGAGTCTGGGATGCACACTTCTTACCTTTGATTGGTGTTTCATGTTGCAGCATTTCCCAGGCTGTTAAAAGTCACTTTGGGGTGAGAGCAGCAAGTTTCTAAGACTTCTAGCAACTTCTCTCGACATATGGAAGCCTTTCTCAATGGTTGAAAGCAAAGGGTTGGCAGGACTTCCATCTTCATCCCTTCTGGGGCATTGCCAGATATTCTGCAGAGTCCACTCACTTTATAAAACAGTACTCAGCAGTACTTACCTTATCCTGTGTCACCCCTGGATACTTTTCATCTCAACAAGATTAATGATTAAGGTTCAGGGTCAAGTACAGCGATTGCTATGTGCCTTGAGGCCCCGGGCTGAATCCCCAGCATGACTGAGGGCAAAACAGAAGTGAAACCGATGAAACTTCCCAAACTACTGTCACTGCTCACCAACACCTGGAGCGGAAGATGATACGCAGAACGCACCACCACAGACCTGTCTCTCCAGGTTTGAAAGATTTCGAAAGGACCCGATTCCTATTCTTGGGAAAACAGGAATCTCATAAGCTTTTCACGTTCAACAGTGTCTAGTACCATTGCTGTTTGTTCCCGCCTTGTGCCTCCATTTCTGTGACTCCCCCTACATTCCAAAGACATAAAGGAACAAAAAGAAAACAGCAAACAAGTTCCTCTGCGCTCTTCTAGTAGAAAGCTGATTCCTGTTCACAGAACGCAGAGGTGGAGTGGATATGGTGCTATTTCCAGTTGCAACTGGCATGGTTCTGAGCTGGTTTTCTCTTTAGAGAAAGAGTAATCAATATTCCTTACCTAAACTGTGGGGGAAGGAAGGTCAAGAGCAGAACACTTGAGGTTGCTTTGTGATTCCAGAAACTTCTGGGGGCCTGGTGTGAGAAGCTGGCTTCCCATGGTCACCCTACCACCTCGCGCTCATCCGTGCAGCGCTCCAGCTCAACTTCACCACGGCCACCTGAACTACAGATGTCCAGTTCAGACAAAACCCCTCAGAGCAGAGACATGGAAGTCACAAGGTCAGCCCAGAGAATCAGAAAGACATGGGATTGTTTTTAGTATTTTTAGAAGCACACAGAAGTCTTGTTTTATTAAAAAAAAAATAAATACATGACACACTTATTCATGATCCTGGGGCTTTGTGAGGTCGAGCGCCTGAGGGGTGTGTCAGAGCATAACCCCGTGCTCTGCGGCCCGCAGCAGCACATTCCAGTTGTCAGCAAGTCTGCAGGGCTCAGAAGCCGCACATCAGAGCTGGGTGAGGTGGGCCTGGGGAGTGGAGGCAGAAGTGGCATGCTGCCCGGGCCTCGGGCCCAGCGGCTCAGCCATCCTTGGCCTCTGCTGCACCCAGAGCGTGGCCCGCAGCTGTGGAGGGCCTGCGCTCTCCCATCGGGCACTCCTGGGGTGAAGAACTCGGGCTTTGGATTCTTGATGGCGCTATAGAAAGGGACAGTTTGGGAGCTGAGGTTTTCCCCATGTAACACGTAACACAGAAAACAGACATACAGTCTCCTTAGCAGACAGCCAGCGCTGGATGAACGAGTGCGTTTACGCGGTCCCTGCAGGCTGGAATGTATCGGTTTACAGCGGAGCACAATCTGCTGTGGTTTCTTTGGCTGTCTTCCAGCTGGCCCTGGAACCTTCTGATACCCACAGGCCGCTTCCTGAATTCTCCCTGACCTGTGGTCCTCACTCAAACCCCGTGGCCAAATGTGCTTCGGAGTAGAAGAGTCCTTCTGCTGAGATGGCATCCCCCAGGCCCACGGTTCGCACGGGGTCTTTGCACACCAGCACAGGTGTGAAGTGGAAGGTCACCCCGCCCCGGTGCCACTGCTCCACTGGTTTGCTGGGGTCCAACACCACTCTGGTGCCTACCTCCGAGTGCGACGTCATGAACTCCTGGGGGGCCCTCAGAGTCACCCGGCTGGTGTCTATGGCTTCGGTGGCGCAAGCCTGTGTCCCTGCCACACGAGCTCCTGCCGCCACGGCGGCAAGCTGGTTGGCCCAGTGTCCATCCACAGTGGCCAGGATGTGGTAGGCCAGCGTGTGGAAATGGACGCGCGTGAGGTCCGAGGCCCTGCTCTCACTCCGCCCGTGTTCTTTCAAGATCCAGAAGAGGATGTCGCTGACCATGCCCACGTCGGGGACGCCGTCCCAGGAAGAGATGTCAGCGTGAGGGCCCGACGCTGCCTGGCTCAGAAACAGCAGCTCCTGCTCATTCAGCCCCAGGGACGTCACAGCAGGAAAGACCTGCTGGCAGAAAGAGGGACACGTCTCTCTCTGGCAGCCACCTCCCAGCGCCGGTGCTAGCCCAGCTCCTCCTTTTGTCCTTGAGTCTGTTCCTATGGTCAGCGTCAGCTGTGACTAACCTTCCCACTGCCACGATCAAGAACACAACTGCCTGGACACTCTCAGCCCTGGGGCTGGCCTCTGATGCTGGCAGCCATGATGCTGGTCACATGGACAGAACCTGTGCACCATGCAGTCACAGTGGTTGTGGGTGTCTGACACCAAGCAGCAGCCTGGAGATGCCGGTGCTGAGGGGTGGCACTGGGTGAGAAAGTGGACAGGAGCCATTGAGTCCACTTCTTCCTTCCTTCTGTGGTGCTGGAGATGGAGCACAGGGCCTTTGCACAGGTCAGGTAAGTGTTCTAACACTAGAGCCACACCCTGTCCTTTTTTTTTTTTTTGGTTGTGGGGCTTGAACTTGGGGCCTGGGTGCTGTCCCTGAGCTCTTTTGCTCAAGGCTAGCACTCTAAGCCCTCTACCATTCTAAGCCACAGTTCCACTGAGGCTTTCTGTTGGTTAGTTGGAGGTAAGTCTCACGGACGTTCCTGTCCGGGCTGGCTTTGAACCATGATCCTTAGAGCTCAGCCTCCTGAGAATAGCTAGTATTACAGGTGTGAGCCACCAGCACCTGGCTCATGCCCTGTCCTTTTGCTTTTGAGTTCAGGTCTTGCTAACTTTGCCCAGACTGGCCTGAAACTCTGATCCTCCTGCCTTTGCCTGGGATTATAAGCGTGACCCACCAGGTCTGGCTGAGCCCATTTTCCCTTATGGGAGCTATCACCTTCTACCTCATTATCTTGTCTTTCTTACTAAGCACCTCCCGTTCAGAGCCAGTGGAGGATCGTGCAAGGCCGGGGCCTGTCCTAAGCTGTTCTTACTGCAGGGAAGTGGACTGCCTTCAGTTTACAGGCCAAGGTCCCAAAGACTTAAACAATCTCTCAAGGAAAATGACATAAAAATATTCCCTCATTCTCTCCCACTTTTTTTTGTCAGTTGTGGGGCCTGAACTCTGGGCCTGGGCGCTGTCCCTCAGCTCTGCAGTTCAAGGCTAGCGCTCTACCACTTGAGCCATAGCCGCCACTTCTGGCTTTTTCTGCTTATGTGTTGCTAAGGAATTGAACCCAAGGCCTCATGCATGAGAGGCAAGCACTCTACCACTGAGCCACCATCCTAGCACTCCCTCCCCCACTTTTTTAAAGCAAGAAATTATTCAACCTCAAAAAGAGAACTACACACGAAACACCGAGCATGAAGCCAATTGCAGATGGCCGGCTCTGCGGGCCAGCGAAGCATCCATGCAGGCCCTCACAGCAGCCCCTGGGGAGAGTGGGGTGGGCGGCTAGCCTTGTGCCTGTTGGGAGTTCACATACACTCTGAACTCTGTAGCCTACTCAGTTTTGACATAAAAGGGAGTGTGGGATGGTATTAAAGCACCAGAATCATACAAATGCCAATATTAAATCATACTCTGGGAGCAAGGATGAGGAAGTACTCATAAATCCACTGGTGGAAAGGAAACTGGTGTCAGCCATGGTGGACGACTTATGCACTCTTGGAGACAGAAGAAGAGCTACGTAGCCCAATGCATGTCCCTGCACGTTCCTGGCCAAAGACAGGCCGCGCCCGACCCAGGACCCTGCCTCCAGAGTGCGACAGCGTCCTGGGGAAGCACTTCTGGATAAAAAGGGACAGAAAGGACAGACTCCGCATCCGTCAAGTCCAGGCACTGTCACCAGCAAGGCTCTCCCATCTTCTCCAGTCTGAAGTTCAGAGCTAGTGAGTGGTTAGCCAGGGGGTCCCAGGCTCTTGCTGTGTCCTGCTCACTGGGTCCAGAGGAGATGAACCCCTAGAGGGCTCCTAGTGTGTGTGCGTGTGTGGGGACAATCGCACCCAAAAGTTCGCCCAGGGTCCCCCCCTTCTTTGTGCTTTTGTTTGAGCAGCACTTGCATTTGAACTCTTGTACTCTACCCACTTCAGTCACACGTGCAGCTCTTGTTTGTGCTGACGGTTTCTACAGTAGGGCCTTGCTTTTCACTTGGGTGCGTGCCTGGTCTCCTACCCACCTATTTCAGGCTTCCCATCATGGCTGGGGTGACAGGAGAGTGAGTCTCCTGCAGCTGTGGGTCAAGAAGAGCTCATGTGGAGCTGGAGGCGTGGCTCAAGCACAGAGCACCAGTTGGAGCAGCACAGAGCAGGGACACAGGCCGCACACCTTCTGAGCACATTTCTGCCTCTAGATTCAACTGTACTCTCCGTTTTCTGAGTTCTGCAGAATCTGTTCCTTTCTGCTTCCCTGATGCAGACAGGCCTCAATTACTTGGCCTGAGACCTGGTTCCACTACAAACCCATCTCCTGGCTCCCCTTGGCCCCAGGTCTGAGTGGCACTCAACCACGACTCAGCAAGCCAGAGGAGCCCGGTGTGGTCTGTCCATGGTTACCTGGTGCACGACGCTGCGCATGAGCTCCCTGTCCGTCATGCTGGCCAACTCTAGGTGAACAGGAACACCAGCAGGGATGTCAGAGAGAGAGTTCACAACCTGTGAAGAGAGGAAGACAGCACAGCGTGAAGGTGGCCAAGAGGAAAGCCAGGATTAGGTTTGGAGCAGCTTGGACACTAGCTACGGTAGTGTGGCGCGCCCCACTGCATTAATGGACAAGGCTACCTTTCCCAACAGAAAACCATGATCTACAGCAAGCCAGTGCATGGAATCAGAGGACACAGACTGCCAGGGGACCCACACAGAGCCGAGGGCACAGTGACACAGGACACAAGCTCCAGCCCACACCTGGCGTAGCACACAGAGGCTCAGTGGACTCCCTGCCCTGCCCAGCCGCTGCCAGGCTGTGTCCCAGAGGCCAGGGCCCAAGGCAAGGTGAGACAGCCTGAGCTGGAGGCTGAGAGGAGGGAGCCTGAGGAGAAGCGAGCTTTTACCTCCAGGAGTCTCTTCCTCTGCAGCTCCTCGCCACGTCCTGCCAGCATGTGCAGACCCGAGAGGACCACCAGGTCGGGCCGGAACTCCTCCAGGCTGGACACAAACACCTCCAG